CCTTGCATTCAGTCAACATTGTATGTTATTTAATAATAATGAAAGCTCGGATGCAGCTCAATAGGATGCACAGCAGCATGAAACGGCATTTTTGTGTGACAGAGGAAAAAACACCCACCCATAACCACCACATTCTTTCCTGACGGCAATTTTGATCGGGAACGCGTCGACACTTCACTCAATATCGATGACCTGAACGTAGAGGAACACAGGGTGGCATTAGCTGTTAAATCACAATGCTTTATAGAATATGCATCACTGCGACCATTGATTCAGGCTGGCCTGTGTGTACCTGCCCGGCTGGGGCAATTTGCAAGTTAGCGGCTAACAACTGTCACATGCGGCTCTGAGCCACCTAAAGCTGCGTTCTGCACATACAGTCGAGATTCAATGGGGGATAAAAGAACCGGCTAGGCCTACCATAAATTCTGCCCGTCATCCTCCTCGTTATTTTGGCTTTCGGAAGTGCTGTTATTTACATTTGTGCTAACCGATAGGAGTGTATTTCTGCCCGTCGTCGCCATCTTCGCAGGCTTGAGTGACACCCCTGAATGAGACCCGGATGTGTCGCACAGAGCCGAGCGTTGCTTTTCTACTGGGCGTGGACCACTGCGAGCGGCAATCACTGTCCTAAAACTCAGGGTAACAGAATAGAATAGAATAGAATAGAATCTTTAAAAAGTTTCTGTATTAGCATCTATGGTTCCATTATAATATCCATGTAAATTTTCAATTGCACAAAAGTATTTTTAGAGGAAAAAGCTTCTTTAGATTATTAAAATGTTCTTCACACTGAGAAAAATTGATCTTTTTTTTGTGAAAATTTCTTAGAGGAACCCAAAATGATTCTTCTATGGCATCACTGCAAGAACCCCTTAGAACCTTTATTTTTGTAGAATAGAATAGAGTCTTTAAAAAAGGTTCTTTATTGGTATCTATGATGGGAACAATAGAAAATCATAAATTATAAAAAGATGTTTAACTTAATATAATATAAATATACGCCTCTCAATTCACTATATTTGTAACCATCCATGGAATGAATACAAATAAAAACAACAAACCACTGAGTCTTAATAACACATTGAATCAAAGCTCAGGATATCAGAATAGAATAGAATAGAATTATAAGCCTCTCAAATCAATTAAAAAAAACCCATGGGATGAATATGAATAAACTCAGAATAAAACCATTGTATTAATTGGATAAACAGAGAAGTGTCTTTATGCAAAGATTCCATCCAGGACATTTGAAACGTAAAATCATCACAGAAAGAAAGAAAGCAAGAAAAAAAGTAAGAAAATATGAATAGAATAGAATAGAATAGAATAGAATAGAACAGAACAGAATAGAGTTAAAAACGTTACATTAAAAATTTGAAAAAGTAACGATTCATGTACACTCAAATTGAAGATGCTGGTTATATCAGTAGCAGCAAAAACTGTTTTAGTTTACACCTCATGGGGGCAGACATGTTGAGATCACGTGATACATTTAATCTGGGTAATCCCTGTTATTGAGTGTTTTTGCTCACGGAATAAATTAATAATGGAATGAGAAATCTATTATTTCTACAGCAGCATCTGCACTGAAATCTTATACTTTTGCAAGTTGACTGACTGCCATAACAGCCTGCAAAATATAAAAAGCGCACATTTAATTGTACTGGATCATTCTTCAGTCCCACTGAAATTGTTATGGACCCCAGGAATCGTTCCAACCCTTCACCCCACTAGATAATGCAGAGGTCTCCAAGCTCGGTCCTGGAGGGCTGGTGTCCTGCAGAGTTTAGCTCCAACTTGCCTCAACACACCTGCCTGGAAGTTTCTAGTATGACGTAATGTAATGTTTAATGCACTTTTTGTTGTTAACAACAAATGGAATATATTTTATTTGCATTTTTATATTAATATGGTTCAAGATTATACTATTTAAATCAATATCATAAGCAAGTTAGGTCAAAAGTAATCTAAAAGTAATCAAAAAGTAGTCTGATTATATTACCTAAAATGTGTAATGTAATGGATCACGTTACTAACTACAATGTAATTTGGAATCGGTAACAGACTACAATTTGTAAGTAATATACCCAAGTAACCGCCAGAGTGCAGAGTTACACAGTGTTCGCACCCTGTACTTCCTCTCCAGTTCTCATAGCAGAGGATTAAACAGTGAAGTTAAGTGGAGTGCGCGCGCCTGCCCTGCTCTTATGTTGAGAGAGGATACTGCGGGTCGGACTATCCATCACCTTTAACGCTCAGCCCGATGGAGCTGCTTTTATCACCGTAGACAAATTGGACATGGAATCGAATGGAAAATGAGTCCAGTGCATAAACTGCACTCAGCACGATCTTAACACTGAGGGAACTTTTTCTAGCGTCGCTTGGGATTTGTTCTTATACTTAAACAGTAGGTAAGTTTTATCCCTTTAATAGCAAAACATCGTAACGCACTGAATTTGGTGATGTTTTACGCATTGATGGAATAATAATTTTACCTCACAGTTCAATGCATACAAGGCCAAATAAGTACTTTTATGGATACATTTTACATTTTATGCCTACAGAAGAAATATTACTATTTTAGCAGTGTTTTTGAAAAAGATTTCTGACTTGTACAGTTTGAATCCCATTGTGGTGCCGCTGATTGTGCGCATAGTTCGTAGTAAATGTTACTGTAATATTCTCTGTACTACACAATAGATTACAAGATCGTAGGTGGTCAATCTAGTATTTAAAATTTGAATTGTTGTTTATGGGTCATTAAAATAAATAAAAAAATGTCAGAAATGCACAAACAATTATCTGAATGAACCTTATCTGTGATAAACTTCAATTGTCTTCAATTTCTGAATTAAAAGTCATTCTGATATTTTGTATGAAGCTAAAAAGTGTAAAAGAAAAATACCTAGGTGGTGTAACTGACAGAAGACTGTAAACAAGAAAGAAGCCGCACTGAAACTCTTTTTGTCACACATTAGACACTGTTTATTTTTACAATTTGTTCACTTTTTCTAAGTAGTCATACAAGTTTTGGTCAGCCCTTGGCGATAGGCTATTGATTTACTACTTTTGATGACTGTTGATGATTGCTTCACTGGATTCATTTAGCTGTGGTAGCTTAGAATACATTTTCTGCAGAGAGGTGAGAGTTTGTAAAGGTTTTGATATAATATACATACATTGGTGGATCTGCATCTGTTTTCTATGTACTTTTGTACCTCAAATTAACAGCATGAAAACTAGGCCATTGGTCCACATGAGGCTGTCCAGCAGCAGGCCCCACATGAACACTTGATTATTCATCATATTACAGGAAACTTCATGCTTTCCAGGATTATTTAAATACATGCGATGCAAATACATGGGAGGAGCACAACAGTACATGAACAGGAGGTGAACAACTGCATGGGAGCTATTCACATGCAGTCACCTCTATTAATTTGGCCAGGTGCATTAAAATACTGCACCAAAGTGGGACGCTTAGGATTGCTTGCTGTAAGAACTCCTAGGGGTTGCTAGCAATAGTTTTGTATATCTTGCAGGGCTATAAGGCTCTGAAGGGTTTCAGCCGCCAGTAACGGCATGTCGGCCTCTTTTATCTAAAAATAACAATAATGATAACAAAAAAAATGTGGCACTCAAAGGAAGCAGAGGGCATTAATAATTGAGTAACACACAGAGATACACGTTCTCTGTGGTATGGTCTCAGAGTATTGGGGTCAACGCTTCGCTCTGTGTTCCAGGGAATCTCTCCCACGAGGACTACGCTGAGCTCATTCCACATGGTGCCTGATGGAAGAGCAATTTCATTATAAAGCAACGTTATCAGGGTCTCTGACTTAACAAGTCACCCGTTTTCTGTTTTAATCAACACACTTATCATGCTCGAACTTGCCTATTCAAAATTGTAACATAATTAATTCAAATTATTTCAAGGACTGCCATCCTCTAGAGACTACAGTGTAAAAATGTTTTGTCAGCTAACCTATAAAACATACTTCACCCGAACATAACTGGTTTTAAGTTCAAAAATATTGTTTAATATCAACCATGAGACTGCACCAATGAAAGCATTTTTTTAAGGGTCAGATGAGGTACGTAACCATCGAGTGAACAAACAAAAAGTGGGGCAGTATTGTTAGATTCGGGATGGTGCACTTAGTTTTTTGTGATGCCATGATCCTAACAAACAAAAAATATATTAAAATAATAATATATTAAAAACAATATTTAAAATAACTCAAAATTAAAACAAAAATGTTTAATGTAATTTGGTGATTGTGGATGTTTTAACATGTTTTGTGGAATTTTTTTTTTTTTTTTTTTTACTGGTTTGCAAGTTTATTTAAGAGGTCCAATATGTGCAGTCCACCTCAGCAGTCATGATGGCGATGCGGCTCAACTCGATGGCTCCAGCTAAGACATTTTTACGCAGATTGGGATTCTTGGGATCTTTGAGGTTACTTATGCGACTGCGAACTCTGTTCTTGTATTTCATATCTGCGGCTCTTATCTCCTGGTAGATATGTAACCAGAAGAACACGGTTAAGGAAATCAACTTGCAAACATTAAACAATATTTTCAAGAAGATTCTGCACTTAGTTTGACTTAGTCAACACAT